CTGGGCTTGATGAAGCAGTTTGTAAAGGCTTTAGACAAAGATAGCAAATTTTCCAAATATCTGTTTGGGCAATTCCCAGCTCTTTCAGAAGCAAAACTTAAAGAAGGGAATTCTGTTGGGCCCTGGATTAGGAAATTGACTTTAGACTGTCAATCTTGGCTTGATCTATGGTGTAGATGTTGAAATGAATTGGCTTGGGTGGTGATCCTTGAGGCATACCTGTGTTGATAACAATCCATTAGGATTACCACCTTCCCTTGTAGCAAGAATGGCGATCTGGACTCTGTTGTAGCCCTCTTCCATATTTGAAGTTATCGCCAAGGTGTTCTAAGCAGTTTAAAGTCTTCCCATGTACCAACTGCAAGTTTAGTAGCAATATTGATCCAAGTTTCACTTACACTGAAATAACTATCTAATGATGACCTGAAAACACTTCAGCACTTTAACAGGTTGGCTTCTGTAAGTTTCTTATGGAAGTTCTTATTTCATCCAAATTTGGAGCTCTCTTTAGGTATATTTATGGCTCTCTGTATCTTGTCCAAGCTAAAAATGATTTCCATATCCACATGTAGTTGTAAAATATATAAAGAATGCTGTACCTTGAGCTTCTGCATGTCACTATGGTCACATTGGTTAATGTATCTGCACAAGAATGTCTTGCTTTGGTCTTCATCTGTACATCATCATCATCATCATAAATGACTGACTTTGTCGGTTCGGCATGGCCAGGTGGTTAGGGCACTCGACTCGCAATCTGCGGGTCGCAGGTTCGAATCCCCGTCCCACCAAACATGCTCACCCTTTCAGCCGTGGGGGAATAAAAATGTGACAGTCAATCCCACTATTAGTTGGTAAAAGAGTAGTCCAAGAGTTGGCGGTGGATGGTGATGACTAGCTGCCTTCCCTCTAGTCTTACACTACTAAATTAGGGATGGCTAGTGCAGATAGTCCTCCTGTAGCTTTGCACGAAATTCAAAACAAACAGACTGAATTTGTCAGCTTTAAACTTCAAGAAGTGCTTTTGAGATTGGCCTTGCTGCATATTTCATCCATTGCATATCACATGCCTTGGAAGATTATCACCTGTAGAGAGCCCAAGTTCTATTCTGTGCAATTCTTGGCTTCTCTGTTGGGCTTGATTGCATGCTTTCCAGGCTTTATTAATATCACTATTTCATCGGTATGGGTTGTTTCTTTTGCAGAAGTTGTTGCTTTGACTTTACTCAATGATGTAGAAATACTTGATGTTATGAATACTGTCAGAAAACTTGACATTTTTACATGAGATGGTCACTGCAAACATCATGTTCTCTATGCCAGGTGGAGGTACCAAAAGTAATGTTTATACAGGTGTCTATGTCATTCTGGTATTCAGTTATTCTTGTTGGTGCACTTGATTTTATCTATGTAAGGTTGGTAGTTATACTGTGGATAGTAGAGTGTAAGCCTTTGCCATTAGTGTTTTCACCTGCATACCAGGTGGGGTGTCTGTCATTGAAATCTCCTACCACTAAGTACTCAGGATTATTGTCAGACAGGCCAACCTTGTACGTCCAAATTTAAGCATGATGTGCTGTGTTACCTCTCCTGGACACATAGGTGACTTGTATACACATTTGGGTTACTTCGGGTGAGCTGTTTGGATGGTTTGTAATTTGTAATGGTGACTGTTCTTTATTTGAAGAACTGAAAATGTTGTCCTGGCCTTATATCTGATCTGTATTCCTTGTTGATGTTTTGTATCTTTGGTTACAGCTTCTTCCTCTTATCCAGGATGAAAGACATATTTCTATTAGCGCTGCCCCACCATTCATTCAGTTTGGGAATTTAGCACAGAGTATTAGTAAAAGAAAGGTGTCATTTAAAATGATGTTTTCAAACTAAAATTCAGTTTGTGTCCATTTTCTTCTTCCTTCCAGCCAGCAATATTTATCTCTAAGATAAAATCTAGCCCTACTACAAGGTTGGTTAAGTACAGTGCTCAAGTCAAAGTTAAGGTGGTACAAAGTGGTGATTTGCTAGAAGGTTCTAAAAGCTGAAGCCATGAGATTAATTATAGGATCAATAAAAGTGATTTGTAAACGGCTGACAGTAATGTGGAGAAGGGAATTCAAGGATTTATTCTTGCTAGAACCAAGATAAAAAAAATTGTTATTTTGGAACTGCATGACATAATATTCCAGTAATACATGGTTTCATCATCTTCCTGTACTTAACTTGTTTATGATACTAATTGCCAGAGCAGAGATTTTGTTGGGTATCAAACATAAGCATACAAAGTAACCATTTTCTTAAACTTTTTTGTATATATATGCTAAGAAATATGTTTAAATCGGACATGAAACAATACTGAGTGATTACCCTATGGCTAACATTTTTTCTTTCTTTGTAAATTGGTTTAGGAGATTCAGAGTGTAAATATGGATGATGAGAAAAAAATGTGTATGGTCCTGAACAAACTGTGGTCGTGTCGCAATGATCAACAGCAACGTAGCTGGCCAGTACATGAGGATGAAGCAGTTATTAAAGAAGACTTGGTTGAATTAGCTACTCTCTTGGTAAACTGCAATAAAGATTTTTCTATGTTATAATGTTCTGGTCCTTACTTTGCTCATGTACCAGTGTCAAAATATTAAATTTTGTAGTCCTAGAATATGAGAATACAGGAACTGTAGTTAATTTGCTCTTATTCGTCTTGTTACAGTATCAAAATGTGTTAATTTGCTCTCATTTGTCTTCTTACGGTATCAAAATGTGTTAATTTGCTCTCATTCGTCTTGTTACAGTATCAAAATGTGTTAATTTGCTCTCATTTGTCTTGTTACAGTATCAAAATGTGTTAATTTGCTCTCAATAGGTAAAAATATATATATACAAGAGATTTTGTTCCTAAAAACAATTGTTTAATGGTACCTTATCTTACAGGTTAGTGAAAGTTGTTTATTCATATGTCATATCAAAATGAATGTTTTATGGAAGATAGAGCAGCTTATCCTGTAAATTGTATTTTTAACAGTAAACCCGGTACAGACAGAGAAGTGGTAATATAAGCTACTGAACTCCCCCTCTCCATTCTGTCAAAGTAGATAATTATGTCCTCAGGTTAAAGCTCAATAATCTTTCCAAACATATTTTCATCATATCACCGGTATAACCTGTTTTGTAATATTGAAAATTTCAGTGTCGGTCAAAAACCAGAGTCTAAAGTATGAAAAAAAACATGCTGTTTTGGTTTTTATGTTATATTTACACAGAATATTATAACATGGGGGCTTATATGGGGTTCATTTTAAAACCTGAAAATTAAATGATCAATATTTTGTAGCTTTAACTGTATGGCAACATCAATCTGGCATGGATTACCACCTGTTTTTTGAAACTGTAAACTGGCATTTCTTTCTGTTTTGCTCTACAATTTCCCAAAGTTGCAATTGATTGGTTGACTTCTCTTTTAAAAACATTAGTTTTAAATAGATGTCACAAGTTTTCGAAGGAATTAGCATCTTTATTTTTGAATGGTCATTTCAAAACTTTTATATCATCTATTTTATTTTCCAATGTCACTGCACTTATTACTGTTCTACAAATGAAATTATTCTCTCATCTTGATGATTTCTTTCTACGTTCCCTCCTCTTATTTGATGTTAAACTTCCAATTGCAGCAAAATTTCTAATTTTTTTTTAATCACATCCTTTGAAATACTGTATATAACAATAACATATGTTAATTTTTTTCTGTTTTCCTTATTTTTCTACATTTCAGTCATGTTGAAACTGGCAAAGTCTTTTGATCAGTTGTTGCCTTACACTTTGTTCATTGGAGTTAAGTTGAGACAAGACTGTTGATGTCTTAAAATCATACCTGGTGGGATGACAGTAAGTCTATGAACTTAAAATGCTAAAATCTGGGGTTCAATTCCCTGTGGTGGACACAACAGATAGTCCAATATGGCTTTGCTTAAACAACAATGACTTAAAGCGCGTGAAAAAATAAATGTATCATTAGATCAAGTTCACTTAATCCACAATTAATCGAGTCCAGTAGTTGAAATCCAATTACATCATGGCATTTATAAGGTGAATAATTTTGATATAACAGATATGGACATGGTAATAATGCTACTTTTAGTGTTATACCAACAGTATTTTAGTTGCAGAAATATTCATTCTTTTCTTGTTAAACTCCAAGCTAGAATCATTAATATGTATGCATATAGATGTACATTAATACAATACATTTTTTTATACATAGTAGCTGTCAAAACTTGAAATTCTCAAAATTTAAAAATAAAATACAAATAAGAAACAAACTAACTAAATTAAAAGAAGTTGAAATATTCATAAAATAACGTGTGTGTATATAGACATTGAAAAAAAATTTATGCTATAAAGAATTGTACTTGTCTTGCAGTGAGAGTAGGCCTGTACTAAACTGATTAAGCTAAGAACTACCTAAGCATTTCTGGATTTCTCTTATGTTTCTTTGCCTATTGAATTTCTCTAACTTCGGGTAGTTGTTAGCTTAATCAGTTGATTACTGGCTTCATGTTACAGCCAGCAAAGTTCAATCCTATGGAGGTTTATCTTGTAAACAAAAAAGTTTTGAACAAAATGTATATAATATTTATTGTTTCAAGGGTATATATAGATGCTAGATGACACAAGGGACTTTTTTTTTGGTATTTCCAGAAGTTTTCTTTGTATGATGTAAATACATACTTTTAATTTATGGCTTAAAGAAATTTTTAGTTGCAAGTATTTTCAAAGGCTATGTTTAAATACATTCAGTCGATTGTTTAATAGCCAAAAGTGAGAGGAAACTTTCATCACTTAAAGTTATGAAAGCTTTTCTAAGAGCAAAAATTTCATTCTTTCACATTAGAAAAATATAAAAGAAAACTACTGTTGTTTATCATTGAGACCATGGTGACTTTTAAAAAAGAATTTACTTTTTTATAGGAAGAAGCTGATCCTTTCACATCACAGAGGGTGCTCCAGAGTCGCAACTATGAGGACTTAGTCATGTTGGCTACTTACTATCAAATGGTAAGGAATGTAAAATGTAATAAAGTTATCTATACAGGTGAGTTTTATATATAATTTTAATATGCTGGAAAGTGTCCTTGAATTGTATGTAATGTAGTTTTAGATTGTATAATATTTCAAAGTTAAGAACAAAGCCTATTATAAGTCTCTTTGCTTGTTTGTTGTTAAGCGCAAAGCTACACAATGAGCTGTCTGTGCTGTGCCCACCACAAGTATTTCACTGTTTTTGGTATAAAAGTAGCCCGAGATTTGGAGGTGGGTGGTCATGACTAGCTGCCTTCCCTGTAGTCGTTCACTGCTAAATTAGGGACGGCTAGTGCAGAAATCCCTCGTGTAGCTTTGCACAAAATTCAAAAACAAACAATGTTAGCCACAGTTAAAGAAGTTTGTCAAAGTAACAAATATTTTTAGTTAACAGTCTCAATTATCATAGTAGTTTCCTTAATTAGTGGTGCTCTGTTTCTTCTTGCTATATTAATAAAAAAAAAGATAAAACAGAGAAAAAATAAATAAAAGGAGAGTCTTATTGAACCAATTATAAATGCATATAGGAAAAAAGGAGTGGGAAAAATAAGTTGATTATCTAACTTTAAAAGCTAAAATTGCTATTTTCTGTTTTGCAATTAAATGTTTATTCCCTCAGGAAATGACCTTAGGGGGATTTTGTGCTTTTTTTTTTTTATGTTGAAGCCATTTCATCATAAAATTGTTCCATTTTTTTTTATTGATTTGTGAATAAATAGATAAAAATTATTGTAATACTTTGTATTGTATTAATTTAGAGTTACTTGTTGGAAGGTTCCGGAAAAATTTCTCACGCAAAATAATTTGGTTGTGCTTTAAAAGACTAATGGTATTAAGGTGCCTGAGGTTTCTTAAGTATTTAAATTTATTACAAATTTATAATTTTTATTATTAGTCTTTGTAAATACAAATGTCCTGTTTTTCTTGTATTATAGGAGCCTCGGCGTGAACTGAGGTTGGCTCTTCTTCAGGTGTTTGTTATTCTTTGTGACCTCGACATGACAATTGTTAAAGAGCTTCTTTACTCAGTTCTACCAATGGAACTAGCTCGGGATATTCAAACAATAGTTGATGGTAAAGAGTTTGTTTTATATTCTTAACAATACTGTTTCATTTTCTTTATTGATTTAAGTAAGTAAGTTAACCTTTTTCTTGCCTAAAAGCCACATCAGGCCCTTACTTAACATGGTTTTCCTGTGGCACAAGTACACATCAGGCCCTTATTTAACTCAGGTTTCCTGTGGTACAAGTACACATCAGGCCCTTACTTAACTCGGGTTTCCTGTGGTACAAGTACACAACAGGCTCTTATTTAACTCAGGTTTCCTGTGGTACAAGTACACATCAGGCCCTTACTTAACTCGGGTTTCCTGTGGTACAAGTACACATCAGGCTCTTACTTAAGTCTGGTTTCCTGTGGTACAAGTACACATCAGGTCCTTTCTTAAGTCGGGTTTCCTGTGGTACAAGTAAACATCAGGCCCTTATTTAACTCAGGTTTCCTGTGGTAAAAGTACACATCAGGCTCTTATTTAACTTGGGTTTCCTGTGGTGCAAGTAGAAGAGAATGTAACATTCCTCCCGGATGGGATGCAAATCTATTGCAGGTTAACTCCAACTACCCAATTATAATTATTATACAGCTGGTTAGATTGAAGCAATAGTCGTAAAGTATCTTACCTAAGGATACAACGACTTGGAGCTGGCAAGCCTCACACCTGCAACTTTTTTATTACAAGTCCAAAGCACTAACTGGTAGGCTTTGTTTTATTTATTGATTTACATTATGATTAAATGAGAAAGATACCTAGTTTTGATGATAGGCAATTTATGTACAAAAAGTCTAGTAATCTTATTAGGTAAAAATGTTTAAATTTCTCAAGAAAAAAGTTTTCTCTGCTGCCTAAGGACAGACAGTATAACTAACAATTATCTTTTAGTAAAAGCTACAGTAATTTCATTATACTTATTGAAAAGATGTTTCAAAGTTCAGTGTACTATATGCATGATAAATATACACTGGCTGGCCACATTATTAGGAAGCACACCCAATAGCATGTTGGACCATCCTTTGCCCAAGTAACAGCCATGATACAACATGGCATACTACTCCCTGGAAGGTGTCCTGAGGATTTTTCCCCTTCAGTCCTAAATATTGTACAAGATAGGCAGAGGATAGTGTTAGCAAATGCATCTTTCACGTTCATCCCACAGTATTCATTTGGATTGAGATCTGGGAATTGTAGTGGTCATGGAAGGTGGCTTAAATATGCCATGTTCTTTAAACCATCCATACACAGTTCAGGCACAGTGGATATAAATATTGTTGTGGAAGTAGTCCTCCACATTAAGGGTACACATGAAACATCGTTGCATATACTTAATCACAAAGATGCTAAGGTATGCTGTGGCATTCATTTTGCCTTCTAAAGGGACCAAGGGGCCCATGGTATGCCAGGAAAACATGCCTTAAACCATGGCTTCACTGCTGGAGGCCTGGAAATTTGGTATCGCAAAAGATAAATGAATTATTCTTGTAATTTTACAAACTTTCTTCCATTTGTGACAAAAACCTGATTTACTGAACCAAATCACCCTTCACCAGTCCTTATTAGTCCAAATCACCCTTCACCATTCCTTAATAGTCCAAATCACCCTTCACCAGTCCTTATTAGTCCAAATCACTCTTCACCAGTCCTCATTAGTCCAAATCACCCGTCACCAGTCCTTATTAGTCCAAATCACCCTTCACCAGTCCTCATTAGTCCAAATCACCCGTCACCAGTCCTTATTAGTCCAAATCACCTGTCACCAGTCCTTATTAGTCCAAATCACCCTTCACCATTCCTTAATAGTCCAAATCACCCTTCACCAGTCCTTATTAGTCCAAATCACTCTTCACCAGTCCTTATTAGTTCAAATCACCCTTCACCATTCCTTAATAGTCCAAATCACTCTTCACCAGTCCTTATTAGATGATCCCTGTAGAACTATTAATACTAAAGCAAGACCATTTGCAGCCAACCTAACAGATATGGGTAAGGCAAAGATATTGCAGGATTCAAAAGAGGCTCGATAGTTTTGAACGTTCTAGCAGGTGTCTCAGTGGCCAAGACAACTTCCTCTGTAGGCTGCTTCTATACACTGATCATTCGAGTTTATCAGCAAGGGCAAAAGGTAATAAAATGTCTGCTTAGAGAGGAAATCTTGGTGGCTGGACGGGATAGTAAAGTCCAACCATCATCAAACAATACATCAACTAACTGCAGACATTCAGTGCAAAGCAGTCCACACCCATCTCCAACCATACCTGGCAAATAGCATTTCAAAAATTAACTATGACAGTAGAAGACCATTGTGTAAGCCACTGGACTCTGTTACCAACAAGAAAGAAATGTCTTGAATGGTGTAAAGAATGTAGACATTGGAGAGACCAACCTTATTTGCACCTGCGGGTCAGGCCAAAACCTGAAAGAGTACACAGTCTCAAATAAAATGGTGAGTCAGTGTATGGTAGTCTCGAATAAAATGGTGAGTCAGTGTATGGTAGTCTCTAATAAAATGGTGAGCCAGTGTATGGTAGTCTCTAATAAAGTGGTGAGCCAGTGTATGGTAGTCTCAATTAAAGTGGTGAGTCAGTGTATGGTAGTCTCAATTAAAATGGTGAGTCAGTGTATGGTAGTCTCGAATAAAATGGTGAGCCGGTGTATGGTAGTCTCTAATAAAATGGTGAGTCAGTATATGGTAGTCTCGAATAAAATGGTGAGTCAGTGTATGGTAGTCTCTAATAAAATGGTGAGTCAGTGTATGGTAGTCTCTAATAAAATGGTGAGCCGGTGTATGGTAGTCTCTAATAAAGTGGTGAGCCAGTGTATGGTAGTCTTAAATAAAATGGCCAGCCAGTGTATGGTAGTCTCATATAAAATGGTCAGCCAGTGTATGGTAGTCTCAAATAAAATGGCCAGCCAGTGTATGGTAGTTTAAATAAAATGGCTAGCCAGTGTATGGTGCTTACATGTATTTTATGTGTGTTGTTTGACACAAACTTCACATGTATTCTGTTACTTCAGTACATCTATGTGTAGTTTGTATGGTCGTTCTTCACTATCCACGATGCTGTTACTCTTGTTGCAAATAAAATATTGAATAGTAACAATTCCTGTTACACCCAAATTTATGAGAATTAATGAGGCTTATGTAAGAAAATGTCTACTGGAGTAACTAAAAGTGTAAAAAAATATAAATTTTCAGCATAGCCTAACAAAATATCAGTAAAATAAAATACTTAAAATTATACCAGCTCAAGCATGTGTAACATTAAACCTCAAAATCACATGGTGCTTATGTTAGTTTTACAGGGGGACAGCTTCATTGCTTTTAACAAGAGGATAATTGCTCTAATCATACAAGATACAGCAATAAAACTATAAAATTAAAAGAAAGCAAATGTGAAAAGGTTAAATTGAAGCAGTTAAGGTAAGTATTTGAATACTTGCAATCAATACTGCATTCATTAAAGGGGAAAAAATGGTATTATTCATTTGGTTTCATATTTTTCAACTTTTAACTGGACACTGATGAATTTACTATAGTTAAGGTTAAGATAGAAAAAGTAAGAGATAAAATATAATTTTTACAGAAAAGTTTTTTGTGTTTATTTAGAAGGTATTAGAGATTATTTAAATGAAATATGAAAACTAAAATGAAAAAAAGTAATTATATTTTTAGCAGGAAAATTATCTTTAACTCGGACTGACCCAGTAAAGGCTTTGTAAGTTCACAAACAAATCTTTAATAAAAAATACTTTATTATATAATCTAATTTTTTGTATAGCTTGTATACTTATAGCTTGCCAGACCTCGTGAAGATACATTTTGTAAATTTAGAATATAAGTAAACATTATTATGTAAAGCTTCACAGATATGATTGGTCAATTTGCCTAAGCATGTGAACATAGAGTTAAAACCTGATTTGCACATGCATGAAACTGCTTATAATGGCTTCAAAATTAGCATATTCTTTAAGTTGAACATTTCATTGAGATCAGAACTAACACTTAGCAACCTTGAGCTACGGCTAACCATTTCAAAATCGAAACACGTGATCCAACCACATTTGTCTTGTACAAAACTGTTTTGAACTTTTAATGACTTTAGGCTTCACGGAACATAGTTTTTGCATATGTAATAAAAAGTATCATCACAACTGCATTGCAAAATTAAATAAATTTTGTTCATATAACACAGTTTCAATTATGTGTACATGTTTAACACACTTTTACTAAATATCTATAAAAATTGACTTCAAAATATGGTGTAGAGTGAACTTGAGCTTTTATAAACAACCCAGGAAATGATAAGCAAGAATGTGTAATGATTGAACTGAAATCCAAATATATTCCATGAATGTGTAATGATTGAACTGAAATCCGAATATATTCCAAGAATGTGTAATGATTGAACTGAAATCCGAATATATTCCAAGAATGTGTAATGATTGAACTGAAATCCGAATATATTCCAAGAATGTGTAATGATTGAACTGAAATCCAAATATATTCCATGAATGTGTAATGATTGAACTGAAATCTGAATATATTCCAAGAATGTGTAATGATTAAACTGAAATCCAAATATATTCCATGAATGTGTAATGATTGAACTGAAATCCAAATATATTCCATGAATGTGTAATGATTGAACTGAAATCC